TAAATTTATAAATTTTAAATTCATAAATAAAAAGTTCACACTTGTTTGTATACAACTTTTAAAAATGATACTTTAATCGTTGACAATTTTAACTTTTTTTCAACCATTCTTGTGATTTTTAATGTATTAATTTATACTAAATAAAGTTTAGTACTTTCATGACTGTAACTAATTTAAATATTGAAAAATGTTTAGTCATACTGTTCTGAGTAAGCAAGAATATTGAAGAAAATATGCTTAGTAATCCTACAAAAAGTAGGATCCTAGAGTAATCCTACAAAAAGTAAGATTACACAGCCATAAAATTCTGTTCAATATATCATAACCTTATTTGGTGTAATATTGCAATTTTATCGGAAAGCCCAGCTGTATTTAAAAATACTGAAACGTTTTAACAACCTCTCTTAATGTTCAATTCTAATGGTTTTCTCTCAACAAATTTTTAAATCTAATGATTGTCCAACTTATATCGGTATCTGTATCCAGAGACAACTCGAGCAAGTATAACAAAAATGAACTTGCTAAAGTATACACACTGCCATTTGAAATTTATTTCTCGGATATTGCAACCGCCCCTGCAAAACCTAAACTGCCTACTGATATGATAATATGTGTATAATATGAAGACTTGCAAAAGCACTGTCTTTGGTTTTAAAAATAGTACCCATAACCGAAGTATTCGGGGTACACATAAATCTGAAATTTAATGATAGAAACGTATGTTTCTATGAGTAGATATAACTTTCATAAGCATAAAATTAAATGAATAGTAGATACCAGTGGCAGTCCGTTTCCTAATGGATGTATCTCACATAGGCCCTTAAAATCGGTCGATTGGAATATCACAATTTTCTCTAATGAATTTATGGAAATATGCATATGTATTAGTCGAGAAATCGTCTTATCATCTAAATAAAATATGTTAATGTCTTGAATGCATATACTAGTAATATCGGTTAGAATCGTGGTTATTAGCGGACAGCCACAAACGGAATGATTAACATTATCCTCTTTATTCTCTGATTCACAACTACGACAGTAGCCATTAAAAGGAGTCCCTAAACAATCAATACAAACAAAATAAGCCAATTAAAACCGAAATTCCAATTGTGAAGCGATACATAAATATTGGTGCATTTTTTTAGAGACTTCAGTGAATCTTATACTTATTGAACAAATTTAAAAAATTCAAGACCATAAGTTTGTTGCAAGGAGAAGGTGCTGTTAATCTTATCTTCTTAACTTTAATAAGCCTATTAAAATAAAGATAAGTACGAAGCAAGAAATATATTTCCGAAATATAAATATTTTTATTTATAACCAGTTTATCTTAGGTTTCAGAACTTTAAAGGAGATATCATAAATATTAAAAAGCCGAATTATTGTTAGCAACAATACATTTTAGAAATCTAGAGATTTATCTCTAACCATCTAACCATCATTATTATCATTCGTTGTGTAATATATTGAACATTATATTGCAAAAAATTATATACTTAAATGTCTAAGAGCTTGTTTATTACTTCTTCATTAGAAACTGATTAAGATGTGGGTATGCAGCACATATCAATTGGTGAATACAATTTTGAGGTTGTTAGCAACTTCACCTACTTCGGTGAGAGGTTGTTAGCAACAAGAATGATTGCAGAATCGCAATAAGAAATAGAATACAAGCAGCAAATAGATGTTTTACAAATATTTAGACTTAATGAAATCAAGACTACTATCCAGGGAAAGTAAGCTACGAACGTACAAGACAATAATAAGACCGGTAACTACATATAGCTCAGAAACATGGACAATGACGAAGGCGGACGAAAAAGCTTTAAACATTTTTGAAAGAAAAATAGTTCGCCAAATCTACGGGCCAATCCAAATTGATGGAGAAACTTTTTAAAGATGAACAAATAATGAAATTGAAGAACTGCTTAGAAACGAAAATATAGTGAGATACATTAAGTCGCAAAGGTTACAATAGGCTGCTCATGTAATAAGAATGGGGTCAGATGGAGGCAGATCGTGAGTGAGGCCAAGGTTCATACTGGACTGTAGTGTCAAATAAGAAGAAGAAGAAGATTAATATGTGGGATGTTAATATCATTTGTGACTGAATTTCTTTCTGGTACGTTCTTTAAATAAAATAATCTTAGAGTTACTACACTAAAATTTATACGTAAACATGAATCCAACACAATCGATTATGTGCAGATAAAAATCTCTATCAACACGAAAGAATTAAAAAAACATATATCAAATGTACAGGTGTGTTGAGTGTTGATCAAAAGTATAAGTCCAACACACGCGGATATGTACACATAAAACATATAGTAGAGAAATTAATATGTTTTGTATTTAAAAACCCGGATGTACATACTCTTGATCAAGGAGTAAGTCCTTAGAAGTACTTAAACTTTTGGTCAAAAAAAAAAAAATTTTGTTATATTTTCGAAAAGTCGTAAAAAATATATTCCAGTAAAATTTTCATATAACTTAACATGACACCTAAAATTCAAAATATTGCAATATCACATTTTACAATAGTGAAATGGCTAAAGAATTAAAAGATTTTTCATTTAAGTCTCTTTCTATTACATAAGCACTTACCTAAAATGAATAATAAACGCTTTGGTACTCAAAATAAAAATAAAATTATGGAATAAGCAGTTAATTAATTAATTTTTTTTTTAATATATTAACACACAGCTATAATTATTATTAATTGATATGGAAAATGTGGAGTGCAACAGAACTTCAACTGAATTATTTTTTTTTTTTTTGTACCACGAAAAAAATTTTATCGAAAAATTTATTATATTTCAAAAAAAATTATAATTTACAAAATTTATGGAATATTCATTTCAAAATGATATTGCCTCTTTTACTTAAAAATCTCTTATTGATTTTTTGGTTCTTCAAACCATTAAACAAAAAAGCAAATTCATTTTATAAATGATTTCAACAAAAAAAATATTTATGCATTATAAATAAATGGTTTTTTTTTCGTTTTTGATACATATTAATTGCATTCAATAAAATTAATTTTATTAAATACATTAATACGATTAAAAAACATTATACCGGGGAAGTACATCAAAAATCAACACTAGTACAAAAATGAAATATTCAAAAATATATTTTAAATTTTCAAAAAACCATGAAATGCATTGAGAGATAATTAATAGTTATTTTTATCTAATAAAGAAATAGTTGTATCAAAGAGAATATCTTATATTTTGCTAAAAAATTTATCATAAATTACAAAATTATAAAAATAGCACACTGTATATGAATTGCTTAATTACATTATACTCATACCAATCACGAAATAAGCCCCTTCACATCATTCACACAAGCAGTCAATATCCAGGTCTACTCAAATATTACTCATATGTCATATGACATATATTAGTATGAAAAAGATCAAAGTTATAAAAGATAAAAGCACAGCAATAAATTGAAAAAACAAAATATTTTCCAATATCAAAAAATTTTCAATATTCAATAAAAAATATTTTCAATATTAAAAAGAATTTTCAATATTTAAAAAATATGTTAAGATATAAGCACCGCCTTATATAGTAACCACCGATCAGAAATATAAACAAAGCACATATCTAAAGACAAAAAGGTTTGAAAGAGGTTTCAAGTTATACATTTTTTTTTTTTGAATAAATTATATATATATCAAAAAACAAAATTATTCATATTATAACTATAATTGATAGTTATATTTTATTGTTTACAAAATGCAAATAGCTTGATTTTGTATTTAAATGTCTAAAAAGAACATCCCAAAAGACAAAGGACGAAATTATTATTTTTATCAAAATTTGTATATAGTATTTTCACAAAATAAATCCCACTTTTCAATAGAATGTATATATTAATTTTGTGCATAGGTGAAGTCAGGCGACAATTATTTTTTTAATGATTATTAAACTTTACTATTTCATTTAATAGATATTATACAAAATTCACTTTAAGTTTAAGTTTATAAATTCATATTCACTTTAATTGTTTGATTTTTAAGCAAATTTTAAGCGTACACTTCACGTATCCATCTTTGACTGTGCTATATTCCATCAACCGTGGGTGTTTTATTTAATTTCTTTAGTAGGCCAAACATGTGCCCAATATGCATTCTACTTTTTCTCTCTTCGTTCACCTTACGAACGTGGTTTTAATTTCTAAAGTTCGATATATACCACTTTCTATGAATTTTTTTTCCCAACTATCTCATGTATTTTATGTACGAACGTTCGTACATTCAGTCGTTGTTCTAATGGAATTTCAATGTTTGCGTGTCGTTACCGCCACCTTCAAATATATACCTGCTCAATTTTTTCCTCACATAAAGGATTTAGTATAGTGAAAGTAGTTTTCTCAGCACCACCGCGCCATACCAATACTACACTTTGTATTAGACAAAAGCTATACGTATACTATTACCTATATTGCCGCTTTGGAGTGCAGTATGAAAACGTTTATATTTACTTATCGAAATGTAGTGTTTAATTGACACAATAGCATTAGAATTGTGCAATTTCGTATGTAAATATTAGTCATAAAATATTATTCACAAAGTTCAATTTTTTATAATTTTTATAACCCAATATATAAGTACATAAGCTTCATTATAAACTGCATATGATGAGGCTTCTGGAAAACTGACTTTCAGTTCGCCCAGAAGTATGCAGTGTTTTTCTGGCAACAGTTGTGAGTGGAAAAATCCGCTTAATTTAATTTGGTTTTTAATAGCAATTTTTGTATATTTATATATATATAAAATGTATTTAACAAATTGAATATTACAAATAAATTTAATAAAATATATATACTTATAAATTACACATAAATAATTATATATTCGTTTATAAAAAAAATTACAACAAATTACTTAATATCATTAACACAATAAAATTGTATTTAAAAAAATATTCTAAACACTAATATCAATGAATGAACTACAATTTACTAAATAATTGTTTCATTGTCACTCCTCAAATTGTTTCAATAAAACATTAATTAATTTAAATATAAGCGCCTAACTAATGGTTATTAATGTGATTAATGGAAAAATGCTACAATAAACGTAGCAAATATCATTCCATGTTCAGTTCATCTGTCGATATGTGAATTGGATTTGTAAATTCGATGTGATCGTCTGTTAAATTTTCATCTGAAAATGAAAAAAAAATTGTTTAATTATGATATATAATATATTAACAATTCTAAAACTGATTATTGACTTTCTAAAATTAAACATTGTAATTATAATAAGTTAATCATAGAAATAATTTCATTAAAACTGTTAATCGGAACATTTGTATTAATTAAATTATATTAATTTATGGACTTTATATTAGACTTTTAAATCCATAAATTTAATTTTTAATTAAATGAATTTCTTAGGTTCAACTACTGGTACTTGCAGTTCAAAATTTATATAATCGGACAATTGTTCCCATATACATTTTTAAAAGTCTATGAAGACAAATAATTAGCGGCTAAAATTTTTGTGTACGAAAATTACCACACTACTCTTCCCTTTTCTATCCTCGCGGGAAAGGGTTTTGAATATTTTCGACGTAAAACATGCTTGTCATAAGAGGCAGTGGCACCTGAAACTGTTTGTAGTAGAAATGTTAGCGATTGAGTTTCATTTAAGGCACCCGACTGGTGGTGTGAATCTAGTACCACGGGACTCAGGGCTGTCCGGACTAATTAAGGTAAGATATGAACTAAAGTTTGTGGATAGAATCATTACTGTAATCATTACTTTCTTTCGATGTAAAGTAGCATTTTTCAATCAGAAACTGTGAACCAAAAAAAACCAGATGTATTAAATAAACCTCACTCCATTCCAATTATGAAGCTTCATCTAAGTATTTAGACTCAAGTGCTACTGGCGGAATTCCTTGGAATTCCAATGCCAGCGTTTACCGTTAAATTATATTAAGAAAAGTGCTAAGAACACAGTGGTATTAGGCCTTAATCGCAGATAAACATGTTAAAAATCTATGGCCTCTACCCATTTTTCTATTCGAACTAGAAATCTTGTTAGAGGATACGAAAGGTTATTAGTATCTATATAAATCACACATTAAAATATTGATTAAAACTATAATCATTATAAAATACAAACCATTTATGTAGTTTACGTAAAAAATAAAAATAAATATTAATAAACTAATTTATAGATAATAAAGAAATAATTTTATCGGTGGAGATATTTTAATATTAAAATATTTGAAATTAATTATCAAATTGATATTTAAATTATTATAGATAATAAGAATAATAATTATTATTATAGATAATAAGATAATAAAGAAATAATTTTATCGGTGGAGATATTTTGATATTAAAATATTTGAAATTAATTATCAAATTGATGTTTAAATTATTTATAATAATTTAGTTATATAAATTATATTTTAACACTGTAATATTTTGTTTTTAATTAAAATTTTTCACATACCTAAATTATTAGTGTTTTCAACAGCAATAATTGAGTTGACAATATTATTAATAAAGTCCTGCGTAAGAGTCTCCGTTATATTTACAGGATCGTAGTACAGAAAACTACGTTTATGTCTGCGTATGCTCTTACTATCAACTGAACGTCTATTACGAAATAGAGCCAAACTGATGTGGGATTGTTGTTGTGGTATGTTGTTTGGTCCAAATTCTAAACATTTACCATTAACGCAATAACGTTCCTCGGTGTTGGAGCACTTAGTACCCAACGGGAAATGTCCATATTTACCATTGACCAAGTAGAAGCGATATTTAATAAATTCGTCTTGACAGCCAACTCTGCAGCTACGATCGGGCTCGTTAATACTTGCTGCTATTTGTGTGCCATGACCAGATAAGCCACGTACTTTAAGTTTATAACGACTACATGTATTCTCTGCAAACTCAGCGGGCGTAAGCAAACGTTCACACGGCTAAAAAAAATTATAATTAGTGAAAATATCGTCGAAGAGTGCACTACATACTACCTTTATTTTATGTGTACATAATTGTATATTTCTCACGCCCGTTCTTCTTGAAGTGACTACTTGCACACCCTTTGAATTGGCTATGCAACTTGAGTGACAACCTGATTTCACAATCCATTCAGACTCAAGTACAGTTGCTGAAACCAAAGAAGCCGATACTGGCATGGACGGTTGTTCATATGAATGGTGATAATTATACTTGTTCCACTGTTGATATGGTTCTGATTTAGCTCTATAATACTGTTCTTGTTGAGAATTTCGTACTGCAACCTCTATTTTTCAGTAAATCAATACATTAATTAATACAAAAATTATTTATTTACTATATTCGCACTCACCATTTTCATATTTATTTCGTAAATTTGTGGATCCATAAAATCTTCCTGGGTCTCTATTTATATTATTTCGGTTAAAGATATCTCGCTCTCTCTCTGCATATCGCATTTGTGTTTGTATGGTATTATAATTACTAATGCGATTAGTCTCATTTTCTACAGCCGGTTGCGGTGGACGTTGGCAAAATTTGGCATCCAGTTTGTAATAATTATTCGTGGAATTATCGCACGAAAACTTTTCACAACGTCCAGCTATGCAATACGAAATATCATTGGGACTATAGTGACTCGATTTGCAAGTTGTGCCATCAGGGAATAGCCAACTTCTTGATTTTGTGCCATTTGATTTTGTTTTACAAAAGACTTTACACGATTCCTCTGCATTCAAAAAATAATTTATTCAACTGATTCAGAGGATTAAATTTATTAAAATAATCTCACCAAAGTCCCCAACAATCTGTTGTCCGACGCCTGTCAAATCAGAATCAAATTTGTTTGCCTTTTCGCAAATTTCCGTGGCAAAAGCGTCAATTGTTGTAATTGCGATACTGTGACAAAGTTTTGCAGCACATGATTCAAACTTACGATCACGTCCGGAACATCTCCGCCTATAGTTTAAGCAACTCCTTGTAAAAGTTTTTAAACCTGTGCTGCCGTCAAGCAAACGATTCGAAGATCCAAACAAACAACCAGAATCACATTCACTAGCTTCACCCCATTCCGACCAAATTGGTAACTAAAACGATGAGAATGTCATTGGATAAATAGTTTATATTAATTTTTTTGACTTTTCATATAAAATAAACAGTTATTCGGGTTATATATTTAAATTTAAAATATTTCCAGTTTTACTAAATCATTTGGATAAGAAAGACTAGAATTTTATAGTACCCAAGCGAACATTACCTGCAGAAAATTTGTTCGGTTGGTGAAGACCAGATTGATGATTTAGAAAAAAAAAACTGGTATATATACTACATAAAGTACATGATTCTACCAAATAACAATAAAATGTATGTATAATACTAAAATAATTATTTTAGACGGATCAAATATTGGATTTAATTTAGGTACGCTTATACAGCACAACGTGATCAAATTTTAATACTTTAAATTGATATCTTAACATTATATAAATATAATGCAAATATTAAATACAAAAAAAAATTCAAAAATATCTTTTTATGCTTTAATAAACTTACTTTGTTGTAGTTATAGTCCTGCATTAAATGGCCCATTTTATTGGACTCTAAGAAGTTAGATTTTTCATAACCTAATTTACTTGAGAGGGCATATTCTCTTGGCGCATTAGAAGACCCGAACAATGATGACCTTTTGACACAAACTCCATTTCGACACCACTATATAATGGAACTCAATTAGTAACTGAATATATCGATAACATTTTAAAAACTCCTTGCTCACCATATTTAAACCACACTCAGTGCCTTCTAAAGCGGGATGTGAAGTCCAAGTATAACGATCGCGTTGACAATGTAAATCACGACACACATCAGAAAATTCCTGCGATAATGCACGTTCTGCTTCAACACCGTATTTCAGCATGCATTGCTGGCTAGCATCAAAACGTTCGCCTGGAAGCATTCCCTCAGCTGAGTGATCTAAATTATTGATAAACTGACCGCGATCGAATAGGCACTTAGACTGTTTCAATCTTTATAAACAAAATTAATATTTTTAAAATACTTCTTTAAAAAATAGGTGCTGTTACTTACTTTAAAAATATGTTTAAATATTCTCGCGAACATTTTGACCAGGTTGTCTTGCCGCTGCCCAATGTAGGGGACATTATATATGTATTGGGATCGCAACTTTTTTCATTCGAATCGTGACGCATGCCAAGGCTGTTATTACAGTATTATGAATTTGGTGTCTTGCAGAAATTTAATTATAACTCACTTGTGTCCAATTTCATGTGCTACCACATACACACTATCAAAGTGCTTGCCCTCGTTGACCGTACAAGACGATTCTGGTAAGCACATGCCACTTACTGGCGCCAAGCCAACAACCTGACTTGCTGACTTACCTGTCTTCTTGTCAAGAACATAAAGATCTAGGCCTACAAAATATATTTCGCTACAATAAATGTAATACTATTTATCCATATTAGCAAACCTGTTAAAATGACTGCATGATCAAAATGTTTCGGATCATCATCTGAAATTGGATTCAAGCTTGATTGCCACATGCAAAAATTACTTAGATATGTGTCGATGTCACTAGAACGTGTCAAATTCTTCGGATCCACGTAAAGTATTTCCAAACGTTTTAATACAAAATTTATACGTCGTTCCAGAGTGGGATGATGATATAGCAATTGCACAGCATTTATCATAGCTAGCACAAAACGCATTACATGACTCTCGGTGTTTTTGGGATAGTTCTTGGCCATGTGCTTATAAAGCTCACGATCGACGAATATTGCAGTTTCAATATGCAAGTCTTTTGGAATCCACTGATTAATATTTCGCCTGCGACGAGTTTTATGCCTCTTATGCTGTTGTTGATGCTGCTGCTGATGATAATGATGACTGTGATTATGATGATGTGCATTGTTAAGTTGCTTCTGATGTTTATGCTTGTTAGAATGTTGGCGAGATTTTATATTATGAAAATGATAATCGTTTTGATAACGCGGCCTAAAACTTAGATGCTGTGGCAGTTGTTGATAATTATAAAAACTTTTATTTTGTGAGGAATGCAAATATTTATGCTGTGGTTGCTTGTTATAGCGATTTTTGCGCTGTTCTTGTCCGTAATGTTCAGTGTTGCGTGTAGGACGGGAAGTTTCTTCAACATCAATTTCTTGTGATATATTGATAATATTCAAATCATTAAATTCATCTCTATCAGGTTCGAATTGAATATTCGAATCTACTATTGACTTCGTTATTGAAATAGGTAATATATCAGGATCACTAGGTGATCTGTCACTTTTTTCAAGTATTATATGCGTAGAATTACCAAATCTTGCTGGTAAAGGATGTATAATGTAGTCAGTGGAGTTATGGTTGAAAACACCTCGCTTAAAATGAAGAAAACATATAATATTTAATTAGCTGCACAATAAATTTTACAAGAATACGTTTTTTTAATTAAATTTTATTTTTATTTACTTTAGCCAACAAATAAATCCAAGATCTTTAACATTAAACGATTCATTACTTGAAATCTAATGACAATAATATAAAAATCTAACATATCCATGCAGTCTCAGTTCTTTTTTTTCTTTACTTAGGACTTGTATTTTGTTATATATTAAAGAAAATGTGACATAAACGATAGATACAATTTTAAAAATTGTGTAAATCATATTAATATTTATATGATATCCATGTTTACAATGCCTGTCTAAAATCCATCCTATAGCTTGAATCAGAAACTTGATTGATCAATAGTGAAATAAAAAGAAAACTTCAAAGCTTTACCAACAGATTTCTGTGTAATATTTTGAGAATTTGGTGACCACGTAGAATTTCAAATATGAAACTACTTCAACGAACAAACCAAGAAGATATCAACAAACAAATCAAACGTCGGCAATATAATTGGCTTGGCCACACTTTTCGAAAGCCTTAGGATAAAATATGCCATACAACACTTCAATGGAACCCCCAAGACAACAGACACAGAGAAAGACCATGTAACACTTAGAGAAGAACGATGACAAATGAAACCAAATCTTTAAATAAAGAAGACTCACTTAGACCATGAAGTCCATTGTGACGCCTTTAAGAATTTGACACCTGTCACTATACCCACTTAGTGCTGGCCACAAAGCCATTGACACGAGCTATGGAAATGGAATCTAGCTCTCTTAATGATTTGAAAAAGTGCGTCCCTAAATAGGAGAGCCTATGTCTAAAAAAAAGCAGGACACTGTAACTGAAAGTGAATTGGTGATTCCTCTTCATCATCCTCTATGCAATGTATACAGAGCAAGGAGGTTCTGATATTGAGCCTCACGGCATGTCCTCCCAATAGGCAGTGTCCCTTAATAATTCCCACTATCTTGGATAAATTTGCTCAGGATAAGTTGATTAATTCCCCCGATCTTTTTTTACTAATGTCTGGCCAAAATTCCTTAGTTTTTCACTGCTGAAAATCTGCTGTTAAACATCTGGCGTGTCTATAATTTTATTCGATGCCGACAAAAAGCAAGTGGTATACCCACACTTATATACGTTATATTGCTGGATATAGAAACAGTCGGAGATTCTATGTAACAAGTAGCATAGACATCATGGAGTACGACTAATAATATCTATATTAATTTTAATTTAAATATTATAAATAAAAATATTAAATAAATATAAATTAAATAATACTATCAGTTAAACTATGAAATAATTAAAAATATATAAAAATAAAAAATCCCATATAAAACCCATATTGATCAATTCACTTCTACGAGTAAAAATATTTGTTTTGATATTCAAAATGCACTTAGAATTTTATTTTGTTTTTGATCAAGAAATTCAAAAATTGAAACATTTTCCTTAAATTTACATAATTACATTCAAGAAATGTGTTCTCTTCAATTAATTTACATATTCTAATGCTTGAAAGAAACTAGGTCTTCTCCTAGCTGACGCTTCCGCTTTAGGTTTAACTTACCACATTTTCATCATCGCAAAGGTCAAGTGCTGAATTTTCATTGCTGTAGAAGCATCGCTCGTATTTTTCAGCTAATTTGTGTGAATTCTCTATGAATTGAGTGGAATTTGCATAGCGGCGAATGAAGATAAACGCATCGTCGATCAGCTTTGGCGTTTGGCGCAATTTTAAATTTACCAAATGTTCGTTATCTAAAAAGCAGAGCAATGGAAAAGTTATTAGAAAATGAATACTTAAAGGGAAATAAATGCAAACAATAGCTATGGACGAGTAAAAAAGCATATCTCATTTCGCTACATTAAAGCGAATTAATTAAAATGCAATGACCGCAATATTTTCAACTCTAGAGTATTTCATCTTCAAACTACCACTAGTCATCCATCCGACACAAGCCACACATACCCACAAAACATGAAGTTAAAGAAAATATAAAAAAAACAAACTAACATTATTGAAAGAAGAGAAAACACAATAATTTATTTATCTTATGCTAATTTGTAGTAAAATACTATTAGATAGACGTACGTATTCATTTATCTCCTGCCCAAAACTGCACCTATAATTGCAAAGTCTAATCTACAAAAACAGCCACTTGATGCGCTACATTTTCAAACTGAACTTTCTGTTCAATACAATCCTTCGATTATATCCTTTATTGAATGGTTTGTGGAAAATAAAATTACTTAAAACATCACTACAGTACTTGATGTTATCACATCATGTTTGTTAATTGCTGGTGGATACATTAAACGCATTTATATCTAAAAAAAATATGGTGACATATATTTAAATGATATTACAGACAGATAATACAGAAAAATTTACAATGTTCAATGTTCCATAAAATGACTAATAAAACAACTGTAAGGCAAAATCTAAATTTTTTCAGCCACACAGTCTTTTTCAAAGGTGATGCTTTACCAATATATTACACATATTTTATTCTCTATATTTTGAGAGCCTCTTATGTTTAATAAATCAACTTTGGCTACAGTTTTCAGCGATTCTTCATTAAAACATATAACAGTCGCTGGGAACTAGATTCAGAGAAACCGCAATTTGCCGTTTTTATGATCATTTTTTTGATACTTGAAGATTCTTAAACTATTTGACAAATGAATTACCATACATTTTTAAAAGTACTTGCTCCATGTCTACTCCATGTTTCAATCTATTACCACTTATAGTAGGAAAAATTACTTTTTTGTGCGAAGATACTTAAACGCTGTGCTCATAGTTATTTTTAGTCCAACTTATTACTTATAACTAAGATATAATATTTTGAGTGCACCTTTATCATCAGTTACTTTTTTTTATGTTCTGTAGAACGAGTAACAATGTTCTTGACATTTACAGCACAATACCGAAAAATAACTCTTTTCGAAAGTGCAGAGTAACCATAACAATTTTGAAGTCATAACTGACTTAATTTTTTCAAGATATATTTTCACATCAAAAATATTATCTATTAGAATCATTTCTAGCGTTAAAAAAATAAATTAAATATGAGATTATTTAACATGTGTGATCATGTCTATTAGGAGCTTTTCCGGGCGGAGGCAGCGTTTTATTCGGTCCTCAACTAATCACAACTTGACAGCTTAAACGAAACAATTTAGAAAAAGCGACTAGAATAATCCAACAAAAAAAGAGTTACGCTCTACCGAGACAATGCCAAGCTTCACATATCTTTGACGGTTTGAATTAAATTGATGGAACTTGGTTGGGAAGTTTTGAGGCATCGACCTTATAGCGCTTGCATCGTTCGATTACTATTTGTTTCGGTTCTCTGCAAAACTCTTCTAATGAAAGAAAAAGTGACTAAACAAAAAGCCGCTGAAAATCACAAGGCCAAACTTTTTTTCAAAAACTTCAAAAAAATCAGGAATTATAAATAAATAATGACCAATTTTAAATTAGTTGATTTTGAACAAAAGAAATTTTTGTTCCAAACTTTTTGATATAATCACACCTGATTTTCGAACCATAATTCACCATCTTACAAATATTTTGGAAACTTAATGCACTGTTTTTATACCATAGGTAGATATGTACCAAAAATTTTTATATAATCACACCTGATTTTCGAAGCATTATTCACTATCTTAGAAATATATAGGCAACCCTAATGCACCATTCCTATTCTATAGCTATGTTTGAAAAATGTGGTAATAGATAAGACAATCATATTCAATTAAAAAATATTGTAATAGTGATGAAAGTCATATTAATTTCAAATATAATCAATTCAACTAGTGGCTACTGGTTACTGATAGAAATTCTTTTTTTCATGGTCTAAAAACATTTTAAATATAATGAAATTTTTTATTATTTATTTGTTATACAATTAAAAATCAATTTAAGACTTTAATCATGGGTATATGTAATGAATTCTTTATATACCTACGATAATTTTTAATTTTTTGTTTATTACAAACCAATAATAATTTTTAAGAATTGACAAACTGCAAAACTTAAGATACTCATATGTAAATTAAATGAGATAATTTTGCATCTAGTATCAAAAAAAAAAACAGATAAGTCAATATTGCCGGTCGTAGCATGCTTATAAACTAAATTAAGTTTTCTTATATTAACAAACGGTTTACCTTGTATTTGTATGGAAACCTCTTGTCTTGGTTGGGCGCCGTTCAACTGTTCTGCAGAGCTCGCGGAGTCAGCACGTTTCACCCGTCGTGATGGTGTTTGTGTAGCATTTTCCTCTATTGTTACCGGTCTTGCGGTGCCTTTTGTATTGCTCACGGCCACTTCATCAGCATCTGTTAGATGTCTTAAATGCACCAATTTAATGTTGCGATCTGCAAGCAAAAAAAAAAAATTTCAATAAAATTACTTTAGTTCAAAACACAACAAAGCAAACAAATATCTGAGATACTTGTAATTTGGAGGCGGTACACACCGTCAGAGTTCAAGGGTGCAAGGGGAAGTTAATAGATAATGATAAGTTGTTTAGATTGGCATTGATTTGTTAAAAGGGCAATATATGCTTTTCGTACTCGTATCTTAAACTTAATTGGAATGACATGCATTTTTGCTTCTAGCCTAAGATTATGTTCAGCTGCAGTTGCTTATGCAATTTTTTCTTTTTTTTTTCTTTTTTCTTATAGTGAACATTGCAGGTTGGAATTTGTTTGGTGATTTGTTTACTGTGACAGTTTGAATGTTTTATAAAAACTACATAATTATCTATGCTATCATTAATCAATTTAACTGCAGTAATTTATGAAAATCACACGGTATTTGCACATTTTTATTATTTTTTCGTTGTTTTATTATTTAATATTTTGCAAAAAAAAAATTTACACTATTTTGTGCAAATATTTTGACTGATTTTCCGCGGCAATTGCAATCCACAGTTACGGTTTGTAGTGTTACAGTTTTAATTTCTCGCTAAAATTAAATAAATAGAAAATAAAATGATTAAAAGAATTACAAAAGCAATTGTGTAAGACTTTAAGTAATTTTAACACTTAAGTACTTTTAAAATAAATAAAAATAAAAAATATTGCAAGTATCTTAGCGGAGCACGTTTCGCTTTTGTTTATAAATATCTCACAAATCTGAGTGCAAATATTGTGAAGTATTCAAGCTGATAACTTGAACAATTTCCCTCAGATAAAGAGCACCACTTCTACATTAAGGCTTTTAATACATTCCACAAGAAATTGCTATTATATTACATTTTAATTAAAAAAATGAAAAATCTAGATTGTAGTTTCTAATCACAAGGGCTTCAGTGTCAATGTTCATAAACACAAATAATATTTATCAAGAAATCTTAAATTGTTAATAGAAAATATAATTTTGTATTTTCGACTTTTGAACTCAAATATATACTTCACCTTACCATTTGCAGAAAATAACAAAGAATGTTATATCTCATATATTCATACATATGTTAAAGTCAAATAAATAATTAATAATGCAATGAACTCCTCACAGAACCGATATATCTGCGCTTGAGAAACTATATGTATGTAGTTATTTAAACAAAAAAAACCCAATGTTAATCTTAATATTTTTATTAAACTGCAAAGTTTTATTAAATTAAAAACTACTTTAGTCAAAAATAAAATTTAGTCTTTATGAATTTATATTTACCTTTAACTTTGCAAACTTATCAATCTTATCAAACTTCTATTTTTTACTTCTTTTTCTTCAACTTTTTAAACTTATCAAATTTCTATTTTTACTTCTTCTCTTCTTCTTGTCTTGCTTTCATTTCCATCTTTGCTTAAATTTCACTGCCTTATGTCCCCTTATGCACTACTTTATCTACATGTATATACCAGACTTTTGAAAAAATCTTTGATATATATCTAGATTATAGAGAATGATAATGTAGTGAAATAAACAGGCACCTTTCTAGAACTGGCTGTCGAGGACAAAGTGGACGAAAGTATAAAAAGAGAGAAATAAAAATATTCTGCTCAATTGGTGGATCAGTTGCAATCTTTGTTCAGAAAAACTTAAATTGAAAAGGTATGCCTAATACAAGTTATAATAATATGATGCATCGCTAAGAATCATGTGAATATATAATACATGTCATCAAACTATCAAGAACACAGAAACGAAAGAAGAAAAAAATTGTTGAACAGCTGTTGCTAGTAGTCCGATTCAATCTTTTTCAATTCTTAGCAATTGCAAAGAAAGTGTTATGCTGTTTATTTTCCTCTTTCCAACACACCATCAAGAGCAAACGATTGATAGAAGAAGAAGATTGACGGACTTCTGTTGTTGTTAGTTGGGTTAAATCTTTTTCAGTCCCTAGCACTTGCAAAGAAAGTGTTTAGTTTCTTTTCCTCTAGCGCCTTTCTTTATATATACAAATATGTAATTAAGACGAATCCCCAATTTTTCAAAATGAATGCCCAGTGGTTAGTGACCTATCATCCCCGAAACGAGTTTTGTCACTTCAATTTTAACACTGCACGGTAAAATTTTATCGTTGTCATCCATTTATGTTCTGATACTGTTAAAAAATACTTATGAATATATTGTCGAGCACCTGTTAATGATAACAGTATTTGTCCTTCTACTGAGAATATACATTAAGACTGAAAAGTTTTCGGAAATTCTCATTTAAAATTCGCGCGCTGTATATTTTTCGATATTTTAAGTTTATGTAGTTTGGCAGCACTGTCCTTAATTACTATGCCAAAAATGAGCGCGATCTGTCAGACAGTTCGTTTACGGCAGCTGTTGAAACCAGTTCACCTCAGTAGTGCGTTGCGAAATGTCTTCGACGGTCGTACGACCGTCCTGAAAGGCTTTGTACCACTCATAAACTTGAGTTTTCGATAAAACTGATTCCCCATAAGCCTTTTGTAGCATTCGCAACGATTCTGCACACGAAATTTCGTTCGAAACACAAAATTTGATGCAAACTCTTTGTTCAATATTTTTTTCCATTGTTTTTTTCGCAACGCACTACTGAGGTGAACTGGTTTCAACAGCTGCCGTAAACGAACTGTCTGACAGATCGCGCTCATTTTTGGCATAGTAATTAAGGACAGTGCTGCCAAACTACATAAACTTAAAATATCGAAAAATATACAGCGCGCGAATTTTAAATGAGAATTTCCGAAAACTTTTCGGTCTTAATGTATATATTCCTTGTCTATCGACTTCTTCTGCAAAATTTTTTTCCTTGTATTCATCGATACCATAGAACACTGATCAGTAATGTTGTACGTTGTCATTATCTTTAATTTAATTTTATGATTGCTCAGTCTAATAACAGCAGTCTTATTTTCAATAAACAGCCCTAATGAAATCAGTCGATCTGCAAAGATTTCAGCTAAAAGACACATAAGGTGAAAAAATTTTATATTTTTGAAGTACAGATTTTATTGATAGTAAAAACTAATTGAAATCAATAAAACCAACTAATAACTGGTTGCTATTAGGATGACCAAAAAATTATCATCGAAGACTGGCGAAATATTGAATTTATTAATTAAATATAATTTATAATGAAAAAAAAACAAAAGTATTTTTTAATGAATATTAAGTTAAGCTAGTAGCCTACAAAAAAACATGGGAAGAAAAATATACAACATTAAATAAATGTGTATTTTATTTAATTGAAATTAAATAAATCTGCTCCTACATCTTTAAATCAAAAATTGTGGTCGACCTTTTGTGTATTGCATGAATATATATTTATATAAATAATTATCGGTTACAGTTTAAAAAGTTCCCTTTTAACCACATATTCAATTGAGCTTACTTTTGAATATAGGAAATCAATCAACAAATATTGCATTGTACAGTATATTTTCACACCTGAAATCCATTTCCTATCAACTTCTGCCGGTAGTATAGTACCGGACGAATTATGCTCCTTTAAATAGCAAATTTATGTTTTCGAATTATAGGATTAGATTTAATACTAATAGATATTGTGTGTTAACAGCTTGAATTCGTTGCGGTATTATAATTTTCATATCGTTTCCATTCTACAACGCTGGGCCCAGGATATGTAAACTTTGTAGTACCTTCAAATATGTGCTTGCCAATATTAACGTTTCGTGATTTCGTATTGTGCTTATATGTATTTCGTTGTGACTGGCTAGATTCCAGGTCAATTTCTGACTTTATTTATCCCATAGTTACAGATTCCATATTTTGTATCTAATTTTTTTTGATAGTGGCTCTCACGAAAACTTTCTCCTTCATTGGAAAAGCTGTCTCAAGATCAATCTTCCGCAGCTATGTTAATTTTTTACAATAAATCAGTGATTCTCAACCGGTGATTCGCGATATGATAAAAAATGGTCCGTGAATCAAATTTAACAGGCGTGAATACATAGCTTGTAGTTTGTTAATGATTTAAAAAAAATTAATATATATTTTTTCACATACTATATTAGTGCATAAATACGTGGGTGTTTATTAGTATATAAAAATATTTTCTACTTACTCTTTATTGATTTTCCAAATATCAGCTCTCGTTCATGATCTAACAGATGTTCTAAAAGAGAATTTTCATCGATCTGTAAAACAAATAAAAATCAGAATAAGTCAGAATAAATTTCTTTGTTAAAGTTTTTACTACTTTCACTTTTTTATTTACAACTTATATAGTAAATTTCTTAGCTTTAAATTATATAGAGTATATATAATTTTTATGGTGTATAAATTATTATCTAAGCATATATTTTTGTTTCATGTATAGAAATTATATATGTTATTGGTTTTTGTATTTAAAACACGGGTATAAAAAAAATTCATTTAATCAATAAACTCAAAAAATTCAATTTTTATTGTACTCTTTTATATATGAAAATTATAATTATTTAATTAAAAACTTTTTAAACTCGGTCTCAACATTATTTATGTTCGGTATAAATAAACATTCCCATCGAACCGTGAAGAGCAATAATTCTTGTTGCGCTGCCACAATAGTTCAGATAAACGTCACTAATTGCTAACAAGGGCAATGAAGAGGGCATCAAAATAAAAGAGTTTTACCAAAAAAGTTATGTTAACAAGCTGAAAATGCCAAAAAAAAAAAAAAATACCGGAAAAGACTAAAACTAATTGAACACCTTCAAAAATTCCAGAGGCTCACACTATAACCGAAAGGGATTTTCTCAAAATATCATTTAACTCAGATAAATTAAATTCATTGTTGATAAATCAATTTCAGCCACTGATTTTCAATTATTCGTGACTGTGAATTCAAGTTGATCACCGAAGTTTTCATTATGTTACATAATGTATGGGTATTCGATTCTAACTACCGCACTGCAACCAACATAAATCAGTGCTGCCACCAACCTGGCGAAAATAGGCGGTTTAGCATGTGCAACTGAGCGACACCAAAAAGCGAAAACCCATTCAAAGCAATTCATCAAGCGCCTCATGCCACGCAGAGAGAAGCTCCAGCCCGGCTTGTGCGTTTTACAATTCGCATGTTTTATTAAATTGTTTCCATCTTTCGGTTTCAGTTATTATGTGATGAAGATTTGCGTGACATTTGTTGATATATTCCACACATTTGCGGTCGCGTACTTTGAAGAGCAAAACGCTTGGATATGAAGAGGTTAGTACACATATGCAAATAAGTGATCGTATTACATCAAGAGACCACTGACCACAATTATTTGGTAATTAGGCATACTTAAAAGAAAATTAAGCAAAGCAACTCCACTTCTGCCAAGTACTTATAAAAAATACATCTTCCATTATTCGCTTTTCATAGACATGAATATGAACTTCATATGGGCGATTTGGATAATGTAATCAATTTTCTTTATGTACGAATATGTCGTCTCTTTCCTGAAGATGTTGGCGGAACAAAATATGACGGCATCATGAATGGTGAATGGTTCTTTTTCTATCCTGTATAGAGAACTTTTTTTGCTTAGGTCAACAGCTTTTTAAAATGTATCTTTTGTTTTTGTAGTAATCTCAATTGTGGTTATTATCTTTGTTTACAATAATCATAACAACAATTGTAAAACTAGATTCTTTATTCATGTTTTTAAGCTTTTAATAACTATATGTATTTTGTATTCTGATTAAAGAATAACAACAAGTAGAGCATGAAAATACACTTTCTTTTAAATGCTGAGATCTAAATAAGATTAACCCACCCAATTAAAATAAATTGCTACTTTTTAACCTAAAGTCAAGAAATCAGATACTTATCAGATCTTATGCTAAAACGATATTTTAATATAATACCACCATCGCAATTAATTCTATTAATACTCAACAATAAGTATAGTGTGTTATATAAAATCAAACTTTCCGCAGATCTCATAACAGGGTGCGTGTGTATTAGAATTACGACGTATACGCTCTGGGTTCAAATATGACTTAATCATAATTAAAAATATGATTTAAAACATATTTAAACAAATGCTTAGAGGATCGGTCTCAAGAATAGAGCTAATAGAAATAAGTGCTCCTGAAATTCGCAAAAAGCCTATAATAATATTTACATACATGTCTTACTCAATCTAGAATTGTTGGAGAAAAATATATCTACTGGTGGTTTACCGCAAGCCAAATTTTACTTAACTGGTCTATATCCTGATATTACCAGATTTGTCATGTAATAATATATTTTAAACATTGAAAGATATAAAGTTACAAAATATTCACATTGGTTACATTACAAATAACTTCACACACCGTTTAATAGCTGTAAGTGTTAATCACATACATTTCAGTCTGAAGATAAAAAGAACTACAGATGCACTAGATAACTAATTTAAATACTTGGAGAATATAAAAAATACTTATTTTATTAAAGAAAGCGCAAACGTACTGCCAGTTGACACGGGGCTAGTTCATCACATTTAGAACATTTACATGAAAAGTCATATTTTTTAACTTTTTTCTTCTTCTTAAAGAGTCCATTTTTTTTGCTCCGTAGATTTTAATTTTTTTAAATATAGACTACTTAATACTTAAACAAACAATTTATTATCTATAAATTGTATATGTACAGAAAACATTATTTGAACAACATTGATCTTGTCCCTTATTGTATATGTCCATAACTAGTGTGAAGCTAAATAAATATAATTTCTTATTTAGTACATCTATAAATCAACTTTAGTAAGTGTTGTACTAAGAAGTAAGCTATTGGATTTATATTTGTAAGATAAGTAATCTTTTGCAAATTACAGAAACATGTAAATACTCGTAAACTCGCCCTAAGTTAAATTGTAGTAAATAAAGTAGTAAATAAGATACTACAACTATTTATGTTAAATACTTACAAAATCATATTTATTTATTTTTTTACGAATGTACATTTTTTTATAATCTTATTAGTATTAATGTCATCATTTTCTTCTAATAAGTCTTAAACGACTTTCAAGTTTTTTTTTACAACAAAAAATTTAAGATTGAATTTCCCAAACTTCTATTTCCCATTTCTTCAAAATCATATTATGCTGCGAAAGGAAACAATATGCTCATAGAAATCCTAAATTAGATGTGATAAGGAGTAAGGACCTATGAATGTTAAGTCCAGAAGTATAGAGGTTTTTTGAAAAGTAGTGAACTACAATAACCAAAACTTTTTTAATATTATTTTAATTAATCGAATTTTTGGCTGACCATACAGCTGTTTCGAGTATTGCCCAACACCCATCATCAGTGGTCTTGGAAATAATTCTTGTATTTAATTATTCGTAAATAATTATTTTTGAGACTGCAAGTACCAGGAATCGAACTCGTGTCCTACCTAATTTGAAGCTTAAAGTCGGACCACCTTAACCAACTGATCCAAAGCCGCACTTGACTTTTATGTTGGCACATTTTTCTGGAGTTCTGTTGATTTGCTGTTAAATATATATAATAGAAACAAATATTTGAAATATATTATATATCAATTTAGGTAGCAATGTTTAAGGACCTTTAATAATAAAGGGCAGATGGTTCACATTGCAATCTTGTGGCGTTGCAATAGAGATACTAACGAACGAGGAATTGAAGAGCAATAGGAATATAAAATTAGAAAAGTGAAGTGAAGTTGTTGAAGAGGCACTATTGACTGAAAAATAAGAAAATGTTTAAATTTAAAACATATGTCATCAACACTAAAAGAAGAAATCAGATATACGTATTTTTTAAATATTAAATTTTCACCAAAAATAAAAATTTTTAAAATTGTTGTTTAACAACTCACCATATAGCGAGACATTGTTATACAATGTCTAAAAGTTATTAAAATGTATTTTAAGAAATTAATGTATACTATCTATTTATTTATCTATCTATTTATCAATCTATCTATTTATCTATCTATCTATTTATCTATCTATCTATTTATCTATCTATCTATTTATCTATCTATCTATTTATCTATCTATCAATCTGTCTATCTGTCTATCTATCTAGAGCTTACGCCTTAAATCGTAGATCTATATTTTTTATTTACTAATAACATTTTATTTCACAAATATTTTTTTTAATTTAAGTTATGACTTAATAATCGTTAACTGTATAGCTAAATTTTCTATACTTATTACATTCCATTCTGTTATGATTATTGCATTCCCTAAAAGTTAATATTTATAACTCACCAACTAATGTTCACCAATTTCTTCAATGTTCTTATATAATTACTGTATTCTTAGTTATGAAATTTTGTATATATTTTCAAAACTGTTCACCTATGTATTATTTTTGATGTATATATTCGTCTTAAAGCCTTGTAAAAGTATAAAGCTTATTCATAATGTAATTTGAAAATGTAGTTCAAATGTTAGTGTTGGTACTGAACTCAAGCTGTCTTAACTGTAAAAGTACTCCTGAAAATATCGGTGTGGCGTACCAAATTGTGAATGAAAGTTGCAAATATTGAAATGGATATAGTTATCAAAAACTTGGACTTTCTTATGACTATTAATTAAAATTAATTCATCCAAAATTTAAATATTGCACATTAGATTTCAAATCAAGTTGAAATAGATCGATTATTTCATGGAAAAATCAGCTTTAGCGATAAAGTTAATTTCTAATTATATGGCTTCATAAACTTCATTAATGTGCGAAATTTTTATACTTAAAGAATAGAAAACTTATTACCTGTTAATAAACACTTTTATATCCACAAACATTAAGAGATTGATATGGAGATATAATCAGGGCAGGGTATTTTGGTTAAAAGGAAAGTTACACCGCAATTTAGTAGATTTAGAACAAAACAGTTACATTATCACTGATATTTTATGACATGAATTAGATCTTTTCAACTTGGACTATATGTGCATTCAACAGGATGATGGAATATGTTGTACATCCCATTCTACAATCGATTTGTTAAAAATAATTATTTATTTATTTTATCATCCTTTATAATTATAAAATAATTATATTATATAAATACAAAATTTATTTTATTTTTATTTATAATTATAAAATAATTATATTATATAAATACAAAATGTATTTTATTTTATATATTTATAATTAAATAAAATTACACATTTTTTTAACTGATTTTTTTGGAAACACCAAATAAAAACAAAGAACATAATCTGTACCTAAACTATGAATCAGGTTCAACTTCTCTTAAAAAGCTTAGTCGGAGAAAACAATTGCTTATATATAAGCATGTTATCATGTCATATTTCCTATACGGTTGTGTCACTGGTAATAAAACCAGGCAAATCTACTCTAAAGAAACTACAACCCTAAGAAAGACATCCAAATTTTCTAGTATGTTAAAAATTGTGATATTATAAAATCTTTCTATTTAAACCATCACCGAGTATATAAAGGTTAGGGAATCAAACTATTTAACAAAAATATGTGAATCCCAACAATTCTTGAGCTTTGCTTAAAAGAATTCAGATGACAAAAAAAAATTTGCCAATACTCAGGCTGCACTTTAAACCGAAATAAAAGTAATGTATATTGCCAGGTCTTCCAAGAGCCGATCTAATTAGGTGCTAACTGCTACTAACTTCATTAAATTATAATACAATTCACTAACATCATTTAACTACATTTTAGAAAGATTGCAGTAGTCATTTGTTAGAGTCTTCAGAAATTATGGATTGCTTTAATTATATAGCTCCAATCATATAAAAATGTACTGTATTGACTAATGAAATTAGTTACCGTTTTATTCCAAGAATTTTTGCGCCCTTTTAAGCTTTCAGCCTCCTTGTTTCTAGCTGAATGAGTGTAGAATAACAAAGATTAGAAATAAATGTAGTTTGTTATTAAAACAATTTGCTATTTCCTTTGAAATCTTTTACGAAATCTGCATTCCTTAGCCAACATGTTTCCAAAAATCTTCTCAATAAAATTTCGTACCATTTTAGCAGCTGTTTAAGTCTCTCTGGTATCTTGGAATTTCTAGAAAATTTGAGTTGAGTTTACTGACGTCACTAAGAGTTGTGTATATTGAATAGAATAATTTCATATTTCAAAGAATATATATATATATAACCAATATCAATATGTTGTGTTATGCATAAAAAAAAATCAGCTTTTAAAAATGCCACCGCGAAGTATATTTCTTTTTTGCTTCATATTTACAAGACACAATTTAAGAAACACAAAGTGTCTTATTTCAACTTCAAATAACAGGTCATTAAACGTTGTCAGCACGGAATGTTTTTATAACAAATTAAAAACATTTCCCTTATATTTTTTCATTTTAGATGACTTGTAATTTATTAATGCAGTTGCATTTGCATAGGAGTTGCAGCCGCAAACTGTGTAAGGCATGCATATTTTGCACAGATTGCATTTCACTTTCTGCACACTTCATGAAAGAGTACGTGTCATATTTACAAGGGTTTTACATATTCTTACGTCCAATTTGAAAATATATATGCTGATATATATATAAATGTATTTTGGCAATTTTGCATTTCAAAATATCGTACGATTATCACCTGTTTTATGAAATGCTTGCACCGAAAAAGCTGACAACCGCACTAAGTGTAGTAATGACCTAAAATTATATATTTCGCCCAATTTAAACGTTATAACAATTTATTGCCAAATAAATAATGAGTCATTCAAACTATACCTTTCACTATTTAAATATAATAAAATATAAATTTATATATTATTATTTATAGTAATTACAAAAAAAATTATGTTGCTATCATTATTTTTAATAGTTCTATTACTAATTTATTTTTATTGTGACCGAAATTTATCAAATATCAAATAGTTTTTAAAGTTATTATATTTGTTATTATATATGTATATTAGGGTGCCATTAAGGTATATGGACAATTTTTTTTTTTCGAAAAATTGGTTGACGGCCCCCAAAAATCGGTTATTTTCCCTAAAAAAATAATCTGTGTAAAATTTTATTTCAATTGGATAAGTAGAAATGGTGTCCCAAGAGCCCCAAACTTTTAGGAACACAGTTTTTATGTAAAATTAAATATGTCGGAGACATAAGCAATCAAAAATGAATTTTATGGAAAAAATCCTTATTTTCCAATCTTTGGGGCTCTTGGGGCACCATTTCCACTTATCCAATTGAACTAAAATTGTACACAGATTATTTTTTTAGTAAAATGAACCGAATTCGGGGGTGCCGCAGGAAATTTTCCGACTTACGAAAATTAATGGCATCCTAATGTATATGTATATATAAAAAATAAATTAGTACTAAATTTTAGAAATAACTGGTTTTTTAATAAAAATGAAATACGGAGTAATAAATTGTAAGTTTTTTGGCTACTTTAAGTACTCTCAAATACCCATTCTTAAATCCATTCTTGGATTTAATTTTTATTTGAAACTGCAATAACCAAGGTTTTAACTTGGACCCTGCCAAATATGAAACTCAGACTTATATTGTAAGTCCCTGAACCCATGCCGTGTTTGACTTCTATTATTCAAAGTCAGATTTTGTCAACTTATAAATAATAATAAATTCACGTGCTATATATTATATATGTACTTTTTATTAGACTTGAGCGTTAGAGTCTTTTAAATCTTCTAACTGTATTAACCCAATCTTATCGCTATGAACATTATATAAACTACCAAAGTAATAATCATATTCAATTGTACTTGTTTAATCCTAGGACTTTTATTGTTATCAAAATTGAATTTACATGTTAATAGTATAAACTTCATAATAAAAATCAGTCAAACGAAATATTCATTATGCAAAAAAGTATTCTGTTTTCATGTATTTATTTTAATATAATCGAAATATAAAATTTGATGTCTTAAAATATAATACCTATCTTACAAAGTCACCTTAAATACATTGTATATCTAGCTATATATATATTTATATATCTTACAAGAATAAATCCTTATCTACATATATTGCAATTATAATATTTTCTTAAAACATTAGTTAAAAAATTAATTTTAAAATGATCTACCAAATAAATTAAAAAAAACAAATTAAATACTTTATAATAATACCAGCTTAGTCAGAACCAAAAAAATGAAATTGGAAATAAATAATGTAACAGTTTTAAAAAGATCTAATAAATTTATAAAAAAAAAATTAATACTTTTTGAGTAACTAAAATACTTCAAAGTAGAACAAGCATAGTCAGATCCAAAAAAAGTGGAATTTATGGCATTTGATTTAAAACCATGAACGTGCTTTATATGTTAGAATATATATCTATCACTTTTTATGAGTTTCCGGCTATATTATTATTCACAGCTTTGAATTTTCAATATCAAAAGCTATTTTACTTTAAAAATAAAAACCAACTACATAATTTACTAAACTTCTTAACTCACGCTTTGAAAATGTCACATAATATTTAAATAAACTAATGCCAATGTGCCAGCTAAGAGTACTAAGATAACGCAAAATTGAAAACAAAAAACATTGAATCTGAATTAAAAAACCTTTGCATAAATTCAAATAAATAAATTAATAACTCTCCTATTAATTTTACAAAGTACGTTTCAATTTTCTAACATATTTCGGTTGGTTTTTTAAGTACCGCCAAAAAAAATATTAACATTAATAAGAATTTTCCATCAAATTTGATCAATAGTAGAAACAAAATTATTTTTATTTCCTATTTCCTAAATATTTTATTTAGATTTAGGAAAGTTCAAATTCAGGCTGGGTATAAAAAAAATGAATTTTTGTAATTATCCTATATATATATGGATTTAGAAAATATGAAAGGAAATATCAATTTTTTTGTTTTAGTTCTCACTCATCTGTGATATATTTTCATC